TCTGATTATCCTAGGGTCGATAACCAAACTTATCTCCGCCATACCCAACGAAGATACATTTTAGTGACTTAGGGTTGAGCTTTCCCCTAGCATGGTCACTAATATGCGCATATGCAATACAACCAAAAACTTTCAACCATAAAAGATTTACCTCTTTGCCACTTCATACCTCTTCTGGTATTCGATACTCCAAAGGCACCGATGGTCCACGATTAATTAGGTAGGATGTTGTATTGACTGCTTCTGCCAAAAACTGTTTGGGTAGACCCAAATGTATGCGCATGCTTCTAGCTCTTTCTGTCAATGTTCAGTTCATCCGATCTGCCACCCCATTTTGCTATGGGGTTCCTTGCACAGTCCTTTCTAGTTTGATCCCATTATCAAAACAGAACTTCTTGAACCCAGTGTCTTCATACTCACCACCATTGTCTAACCTCAACCTCTTAATCTTCAGACCTGTCTCATTATCCACCATGGCCTTCCATTTCTTAAACACATCAAATACCTCAGGTTTGTGCTTCAAAAAATAAACCCATGCTTTCCTCATATGATCATCAATGAAAGTCACGAAGTAGGATTTTCCATCAATGGATAAAACAGTGGCTGGCCCCCAAACATCTGTGTGAACTAGCTCAAGTTTCTCCTTTCTGAGATCTCTGCCACTCTTCTTGAAACTAACCCTCTTCTGCTTGCCCATCACGCAACTCTCACAGAAGTCAATATCAATTGCCCGTATGCCTGGTAATTTCCCCTTTGAGTGCATAATCTTAAGCCCCCTTTCACTCATGTGACCTAGTATTTAGTGCTAAAGGTTGTGATCTTCTCTATTTTCTGCAACTGTTATAGACCCACAAGCACTAGTAGTTATGTAGAGAGTGCCAAATTTCTTACCAGGTGCAATCGTCAAAGCGCTTCTGGAAACTTTCCACGAGTCTCCATTGAAGGTTGTAATAAAACCTTCTTCTGACAATTGTCCCACCGAAATCAGATTCTTCCTCAAGTTAGGGATGTGTCTCACATTCTTTAACTTCCAAGTTGACCCATTCAACTTAATTTACACTTTACCCTTGCCAACGACGTTGTAAGGCTGATCATCACTAAGATACACCTTGCCAAGGTTACCCGGTTCATAGCTATTAAATAGCTTTTTGCTACCATGAAACGATGCGCCGGAATCTAAAACCCATGACTCCGCCTTGCTCTCCAAAGAATATATCAATGCATCATCTGATTCTTCTGAGACAATGTTTGAGTCAATTTTTCTTTCGGTTCCCTTCTTTGGAAGTCTGCAATCAACACGGTAATATCCCTTCTTTCCACAATTCCAACACTCAACATCACTAAGATCTGTGGATTTTTTGAAATTTTTAAACTGTGTCTTTCAATTCCTTGACTTAGATTTGCCTCTATTTCTATTATAGTTGCCCTTCTTATTGTTTGAATTTTTGCCTCTACTTTCAACATTTAATGCCGAACCACTAATGGAAACCCCTGTTGTTTGCTTTCTGATTTCGTCAATGAGAATCATGCTCACAACTTCATCAAACTTCAACTTGGTCTTCCCTGCAGAGCTACTGATCATTGTAACTATGCCACTCCAACTCTCGGGTAACTGCCCTAGAATTAGCAGTACTCGAACCTCGTCTTTGAAGTCGATATCAACAGACTCTAATTACCCAACTATCTCGTTGAACACATTTAGATGTTCGTTGAACTTACCACATTCGACCATCTTTATGTTGAACAACTTCTTAATCAAGTGCACTTTGTTCGCTACAGAAGGCTGTTTATACATACTAGAAAGGGTTGCTATGAGAGACATTGTCGTCTTCTCGTTCTTGATGTTAAAGGCGACTGACTTTTACAATGTCAATCTGACAATGCCAAGAGCCTTCCTATCAAGCAATTCTCAATCTGCATCCTTTGTATCCTCTAGCTTCTCTCTCAAATGTTGAGAAAGATTTTTCTAAAACAAGAAGTCTTCTATTTGCATCTTCCAGAAACCAAAGTTTGTGCCATCGAACTTCTCAATCATAGATGTGGATGTCTTATCTTCTGATGTCATTACTCCCACTTGAACGGACAGATCTGACTGAAAGACTTTCAGAATTTCATCAAACACCTTCTATGCCCTAGGTTCTCAACTAGAGGCTCTGATACCAGTTGCTGGAGTTGCTCTACACAATCAACCGGATTTGATACCAGTTGTTGTGACAGAAACGTAAAATAATAATGCACGCTGTTTGAGGAATAATCAAACAATCATGAAGAAAAAATCACAAAAAATAACACAAAATATATATGGTTCACCCAAATCTTAGGGCTACGTTCATGGAGCACACCAAACAAATTCACTATGAAAAAAATGAAGAATTACAAAGAGAATTTTCTCTCAATCTCTCTCAATTGCTCTCTCTTGTGTTGACACAAATTAATCATACAACACGTATGATTTCTCTCTAATTTTCATCACGCCCTAAAAATACTTATTAGGGTTAATATATATAGCCCCATATAATGGAACACAACTTGTCCGACAAGAATTGCCTTTTGTAGAGTCTAAGACCATTAAGGAAAATAAATCATGTAAGTTTCCAGAAAAGTTGAACCGGTACCAGGAATTGGCTACCGGTTCCCAATGTTTAGAGACAGATCTTCTTTAATTCTGGAACCGGTTCCAGAATTGGCTATCGGTTCGCACTGGACAGTGGCTGATCAACGTTTTCTCGATTTTGGCTATTACTCCGTAGAACCGGTACCCAATCGCTGAACCGGTTCCCACACGTCAGTAGCCAAAAAAAATATTAAAATTATCAGTTTCCCAAAAAACTTCACGTAATCACATGATCAGACTCCACCACAAAAAAACACAACAACATCAGCTTCGGAGGACCCATATTAGCCTCGGAGGACCCAAACTCACAGTCGGAGCACGCACCTCTGTTCAAAGCCGTACTGTTTGCTTATGCCATTTAACGTATGACAAAGGGGTGTACTTCTCTCACGTGTTGATCATATGACGTCCCTAGAACATCACCAACCACCTCTTGGATCTGTGTTCGAGTTTAGTAAAAGGCTGTATTTATGACATCATGCTTAAAATAGATACTGCATTTTAATTATTTATGGCAAGAAGTAGAGACTATCTATGTAATACATCAATACACGTGATCCATAGTAATGTTATTTGAAAAAATGGATTAATTATATTCACACCCCTAAAATTTGTCCTATTAACAACTAAGATAGTTTTTTTTTTAAACAATGATATCCGGTTAAATTTTGCATCCAAACAAGGCCTAAAAAGGAGTGAAATATTTACATTACTCTTTAATATTTTATTCACATTTAATTTATAATCTCAGAACCTCTAAATGACCGAAATGCCCTTCTTTGAGGAAAAAAAACAAAATTAACTCAACTACCTCTACTTTCTCTCTCTAACCTCTAAATCTCTCATTCATCTCTACCACAACCCACCTCTGCCAACTCCACACCACCGTCCACCACCACAACCTCCACCCTACAACCACCACCCACCATTGCCACCTCCACCACCGCTCACTCCGTTCTTTATTTTTCTCTCTCCACTCATTACAAAACCAACTGATATCCTTAATAATTTTCAAAAGACATTAGTTTACTAAAGAAAAAAAGAAGGCAAACCATCCATCGAAATAAGAGCCACCAATGTCAACTCCCATCAGATTCAAACCACCCAAAACAAGACTTCTTGAAAATCAATTTGCACCAATACCACCCAAATCCATACATATACAATGCACATGATCCAAAATATACCATCAATTGTGCTACTAGTCAACCCCATAAGAATTGTATACATTTCTCGACGTTGCAGAAAAAGTAAGTATTAAACAATATTACATTCAAATGAAGTAGATTGATTTGTAAATTGAAATCACATTAATGGGTTGTGGTGGTGTACTGCCAGTGGAGGTGGCAACCACCTTCTTCTTCCCCTCCTCTTACACATTCTCTCTCTCTCTATAGATATCAATATCTATATATATGTGTATATATGTAATAAGAGGATGAGATGATATATATAATTATATATATTATGTGTAGATAGATTAGTTTGGCATATTAAAATTAGTTACAAGGTTAAATCAGTAATTTCAATACTCTAATGGGTCAATTCACAAGTCAATGGGCATTCTAGTCATTTTATTATGTGTCAAAGTGCTCAAGGGTGTCTTTGTCAAACTCAACAACTTGAGGAGTGTCATTGTTAAAAAAATAATCAACTTTCATCAGTCTGTCAATAAGATAAACGTGTAATTAACCCTTAAAAAAAAAAAAACTAATCCGTATAACAACCGACCCGTCGCCCTCACTTCTCGAATTTTTAATTGCTCCATTATTGTCACACATGGTTTATACTAGGGATCGAACCCATAAATTTATGTGAGAGGGAGTAATTATGAGATGCATGAGATGGAAAAGGAGGAGTGGAATGTATGAGGTGTGGTTACTGATAAGTCATCGTTGCAATAGACTGTTACAAATATTTCACCAAAACAAATTTATCAACTTAAATTGCAATTGAAAATGCGAAATAAAAAGAAATATAACACACAAAAGGAAGAGAATCTCTCTCTCTCTCTCTCTCTCTCTCTAAATATGTATAAATAGAAAATAATAAGTATACAATTACCCTCCCCCTCTCTCTTAATCTATACTATTATTCTTAATCTATACCTGTCAAGAAATCCAAATCATTATTATTAATTACAAATAAATAAAAGAATAAAATAAATTAATCATAAGTTACTAATTAAAATACAAACACAAGTTACCAGTTAAAATACAACTTATGTTTGTCAAGTCAAGGTCAACACGCGTATTGGCTAACTGCTACGCCAGATGTAAGAAATTGCTTGCACATCACCGTAGTCAATATTGTCATCGGTAGCATAAACAATACAAAGTTTAGTGGAAACTCCCAATCAAATTATGTTACCTTCCAAGCGGAGAAAATGGCTAAGATGTAAAATCATGTGTAATATATATATATATATATTTCTACTTGCCTAATTGCTCTCCATATCTTTAGCTCCGACTAATTTAGCACACACAATTAAACAAGGTTAATTCCTATGGCTTCTTCTTCACTGCCTCGATGGGAACATGACGTGTACTTGAGCTTCAGAGGCGAGGACACTCGCAGAACCATCGTCAGCCATCTCTACAACGCTCTCCAACAGAGAGGAATCAAGACCTTCAAAGATGACGAAGGGCTTCAGCAAGGAAAATCTATTTCTTTGGATCTCATGAAAAATATCAATTTATCCAGCATTGCTGTCATCGTTTACTCCAAGAACTACGCTTCTTCGTCATGGTGCTTAGATGAAGTGGTGGAGATCTTAGAGTGCAGGAGGACCAAGGGACAAATAGTTTTGCCCGTTTACTACGATGTGGAAGCATCAGACGTGCTAAAACAAAAAGGGTGTTTTGGGGAAGCATTTTACCGGCATGAAGAATTACAGGATACGGAAAGGGTGAAGAGATGGAGGGCTGTTTTGGCGGAGTCAGCAAATCTAAGCGGGTTACAATTAGATATGTATGGGTAAGTACATTGCTTCTGCTTCTATTAGTTACCAGCTTAGTTCAACATCTCTCTCTATTATACGTCTCCTATCTCAATTAGACTGCCCATTAAACGGTGACAAACTTCATATCTAAGTAGGAGAGTAAAATTAGAGCTGTAGAAATGGTACCATGGCATACACCGAGAAGAAATTATATAATATCTCGGTATATTTTGGCAAGTGGTATTTGTCTCACTCAAAATATGTATTTTTAGTGTTTTTATTACCTTATTTTCCCCTTATCTCTTTCTTTGGCTATATATAAATACACACGTTTCATGATACATATCACAAATGACATGGCAAGTCACTATATCCGATTGGTTGACATGAGGACCAGACCTATTGTTGCATTTGCTATTATTAACATCAACGCCTCTAATTAAGTGCAGATAATTATTTTGAAATAATACTTAGCTACTCACTTGTGGGTAGCCCCAGTGTGTTTTAATAACAGCATATCACATCAGCTTTAATAAAAATGTTATTTAATGGTTGATTCGAGAAAATACAGGAGAACATGGGTTATTTGGTTATTAAAAATGATATGGTATGTTGTTATTGAACAAATAAGGGGTGAGTAGAGTGAAGCTACTCACCGGTCCGTAGCTAAGCATTATCCATTATTTTGTGCACAATTTGGTGTTTGTAGCAAATGGGTTGTTACCAGTATTTTTTCAACTCTCTGTATAGACTATATATATATCTGTGTGTGTGTGTGTATGTATGTATATATATTTTTGCCTATATATAAGTTATAATAAATATTTCAACCTTTATATATGTATAAATCTCTCTCCCTCTCCCTCTCCCTCTCACTCTTTTCCTTCACTAGATTACAATTTTATTGTGTTTTATACTTGATAGGGATGAGAGTAAGTTTATCCAACAAATTGTTCAAGTGATTTCAAGAGAATTGGAGCTGCTTTCCTCTCCTTCCCACATCACCCCTGTTTTCCCTACAAGATCTACTCCTCATGGATCAAGCATGCTTCACTCAGGCCAAATCCCCATCAACCTCAACACTGTCCACATACCACAAAATCTGCATCCTCCAATGTCACCCGACTTACCTGCAATTGCTGATCATATGCAACCCATCTCTCCCTTTGCAGAAAAGCCACTTGTGGTGACCCTGCCCAATGGGTTGGAAACAGCTGATCTCATCAAGGAGATCGCCTGGCTGAAAGAGAACCTCGAAAAGGCCAGAGAAAGAATTGTTAGACTTGAGCAAACAATCTCTGAGCTCAATGCTCGAGATGCCACCACCATGACCAGCACTGATGAAGAATCCAACGACGAGGCGTCCTCCGGTGGCCATATCCCTTCATGTAAGACAGCATTGTATTCCAATTCAAGAATCGAAGCCCAGTCCGCCAAAAGGTGTCCAATCCCGACCTCCCACAAAAGGAACCTCACTCTTATGAAAACCACCAAGCACCAAAACAGCCTTACACTATCTACCACCACTCATCAACAAGCCAAACAACCACCAATCCGAAAAATGAAATTCGAGTTCCACAAGCCTACTTCAGTAGATCAAAATGGCCAGCCTATCGTTGACCCTCCCAAAGAGGTATCTGAAGAAGGCATAGAATACTGGAAAGCATACGTGGTAGGCTACTTTCTTGACAATTATAAAATGCCTTGCAGTAGTGTTGTCCAGCCAGCTGCAATGAGGATATGGAAAGACAAGGGGCTCACTGAGGTTTTAGCCGATGGGAAAGGATTTTTCTACTTCAAGTTTGACGACCTAACTGCAACTGAAGCCATTCTCAGCTCGGGGCCATGGAGCATTGCTGGGAAGCAAATCATGCTAATGAAATGGAACCCTGATTTGTCTAATTATGAGGAGGAACGGTGCAGTTTGGTGCCTGTGTGGGTTAAGTTTTATAACATACCAAAACAGTTCTGGACAGGGAAGGGTCTAAGCTATATAGCTAGTGCCGTAGGGAAGCCCTTACATGCAGATCAAGCTACGGAGAGTAGGAAAAATTTGATCTTTGCTAGAATCTGCGTTGAGGTAGATGTGAGCAGCTCTCCTCTTCTAGACAAATTCATGCTCAAGAATCGGGATAATACACAGGTTGAAATTAGGGTGGAATATGAATGCGTTCCAAAGTACTGCTCTTTGTGCTCTAAGATTGGACACTCAACCAGCTCCTGTCAAGCTCTCTGTCTCAAGAAAAAGGAAGTCAAATGAAGACATCAGCTCACAGAATCCAAACCTTACTGATCGAGTTTAACAAAACCAAAATGGGGAGGTTGAGTTTAGCACAATTCTATCGATTTTCCTAAAATGGTCAATGCTGCTTCTCTCTTTTTTAATATTTGGGCTTCTGTCTTCAATTTTGGAGGCATGATGCCCTTATATAGTTTTTTATGGTCAGATTAGTTTATTTACAATAATTTGAACACAATTGTCATGTGTAATTTATAATTCACTTAGTTGCATCAAGTTATCCCTCATACAAACCATTGATAAATCATTTATAATTTGAACATATGGTTTTTTTTTTTCGGTAATTAATTGAACTTTATTGTTATGTATGGTAAACTCTGACATAACCTGCCTTTTTAACTGTCTTCCTCCAACAAATGCAAGTTGGTATCTCAATCATGAAAATCCATCAAAACGGCACTTAAAATAAAGCTACTACAATAACAAGTTAATTGTAGCATATACCAAAAAAGATTGATCAAAAATTTAGAATGTGGATTTGAATGTTGAATAGTGCTGGATACAAGAAAAACTCTCGACTTGATTACTATTATTCACCGAAAACCTGAACTAGTTGTCAAGTCTTCAAGATCAAAAACCAAGGAAAAGTAAAAGGAAACAGAAGCTGAGATTCTACTATGTCCTTTTGTCTGCTAAAATGGAGGGAAAAAAAATAAATAAAAAAAAAAAAAGAAAAGAAAAATAATCCACTAAACCAAGTATCCATTGGGCTCGAGTCTGTGTGTTCATATTCCACCCTAACTTCAACCTATGTGCTCTCTCGAGTCTTCAGCAGGAACTTGTCTAGAAGTGGAGAGCTCACATCTACCTTAATGCAGATTCTAGCAAAGATCAAAAATTTCCTACTCTCCGTAGCTTGATCTGCTGCATGTAAGGGCCTCCCTAATGGTCTGTGCTGAGTCGAGTTTGTCCGGGCATGAAATTAAGGTCAAAGCCCACCAATCAAGCCTTGGTCGGGTTAGATGGAGCTTCAGCCCCAAATATTACTTAATCCTCAACACAATCTATGGATTCTAGCTTAGACTCCTTAGCATAACCCTTAGCAACTACCTTACAAAAAAAAAAAAAAAACCCTTAGCAACTGTGTCCCAAGTAATGCTTCTTATGCTCTGTTGTAAACTATAAAACAGAAGTGAAGAGATAAGTAAAATGAGTAGAACACACAAGGATTATGTGATTCAGCCACTAAATCCTACATCCACGGTATAAAGAGCCCAAAGGGTTATCACTTTTATAATACTCTCAATTCATATATAACACAATGGTGGAGGCTCCTTTATATAGGAGAAGAAATTATGAGAATGGAAAGAATTAGAAAATAGGAAACAATGAGGATTTTTCTCCATTGATTCCTCTATTAATACCAAATCTTCAATAATAGAAAAAACATCAGTTACTGAAAGATTTTTCCTCCACTGATTCCTCCATTAAATCTTCAATACTCCCCCTCAAGTTGAAGCACGAATGCCCAACTTACCATTGAGATGATGAGTAACAACAAGTGTGAATGATGAAGAAAGAAGATGAAGAACAATGCTACTGAATACACTAACACCCCAAACAAGTCAACAAAAAGCTGCCGGAGACATGACAAAGGCGAGGACAATGCTACCGAACACACCGACAGCCCAAACAAGTTGATAAAAACTGTCGGAGACACGACAAAGACGAAGACAATGCTACCGAACACACCAAAAGCCCAAACAAGTCAATAAAAACTGTCGGAGTGTCGGAGACACGGCAAAGGCGAAGAACATTACTGCTGAACAAACCGGCAGCCCAAACAAATCACAAATAGTACCAAAAGACCCTTAGCAACATTTCAGATACTAAGGGAATACTCCAAAATAGAGATCTGAACCTAGGAAGTGAAATTTGGCTATAATACCATGTTGTAAAGCATAAAACAATAGTGAAGAGATATATAAAACAAGTGGAACGCACATATATTACGTGGTTCAGCCGCTAGGGCCTGCATCCACAGCACAAAAAGCCCAAATGGCTACATCACTTTTATAATACTGTCTCAATTCATATATAATACAATGGTGGATGTTCCTTTATATAGGAAAAGAAATTATGAGAATGAAAAGAATTATAAAATAGGAAATAAGGATCCATTGATTCTTCTACTAACACTAAATTTTCAATAATAGGAAACAACATCAATTACTGAAAAAAATTTCTCCATTGAGTCCTCCATTAAATCTTCAATATGCTCTAAGATTGGACACTCAACCAACTCCTGTCAAGCTCTCAGAAAAAAAGGAAGTCAAATGAATAACAAAACCCACTCTACACCCCAACCCAACCTAACCCTCCCCTCCTCATTCCCCCAAAGCTATAAACCAACCATTTTGGTTCTTGAGGGTTGTGCTTAATATTTTCTCCTTCTGGAATAAAAGCAACTGTTTTATCATCAAATTTGTATAATTCAAAAGTAATTTTACCTATCAAAAAGTTCTTATTTTAAAATTTAATCTAAAAATTTCTCAGTTGAAAGGGTGAGTTGTAGGTTTTCAATTTGAACTCTTTTAGTACATTATTAACCTGTTCTTACGCATATTATAGAGTGGGAACAAATTCTGCGGGGTGATACCGTGAGTTCTCAAAATGAATAGATCATGACCCTAAATATCAATTTAATTTTCCTGTAGTTGGTTACAACATCACTTGGACTACAATGGGGAAAATTCACTACAATTTGCAAAAAAAATTGAAGCTAGACCCTCAAAATCATTATAAATATATGAGTGTATATATAAATGTATATTCATTATTTTGTGATACTGTTAAAAATGGTAAAGCTAAGTTTATCCGATAATGCAAGATTGGCAAGACATACCCACTGAGAAATGTTCTGAAAACCTTGTAATCTTCCATGCATTGTTCAATTATTGGGATCGTTCTCTACGAGCAACCGGTGCAAGGGCTTTATTGCTAGCTAAGGAGTCGGTATTGCTAGTGTTTAAATTGGTATAAGGCTAGCAATTTGTGGGACCTAGAGGAAGACTAGCAAAGTACATCGCAACTACTAACAATAGCATTGCGAGCCAAACAAGGCCCCACCTGATGCAGCAACGGCTCTTTTCCCCTTTTTTTTTTTTTTTTTTTTTTTTTCTTTGGCCCACAACTGCTTGGCTGTTTTCCCTTTTTTTTTCTTTACCATTTCTTTTTATATGTAATTTACTTTTATTGTAAAAAATAAATTTATGATTTTGATTATTTTATTTTATTTTTTATTTTGAAATAAATATTTATGATTTCAAAACTTGTCAACAAATACATATGAATTTTTTAAAACAAAAAATCATATTGTTAGAAATGGCTTTTTTTTTTTTTTCTTTACTATTTCTTTTTATATGTAATTTAATTTTATTGCAAATTTTTTTTATTTTATGATTTTGATTTTTTTTTTTCCTTTAAAATTTGTCAACAAATATATAAGAAAAAAAAATTGTAAAGTAATATTTTATTCATCACAAACATACAATATGAAGAAATACATTTTACTCAATATTATCGTTAAACCTCTTCATTGCCAAATTTATTCCACAAATGCTCCATAAGATCTCTCCTGAGATCTCCATTGTTTTCTACATTGCGAATCCTGCTGAGGCGAGTGGAGATATGTGCTGCCAAAAATGATCAGTCTCGATTGTACTGTGGAAGGTAGACCAACTCATCCGTTGGAGGTGTCCATTCCAAAATGTTAGTGTCGCCCTCGTCTTCTATGATCATGTTGTGCAATATGATGCACGTTCTCATTATCTTGCTCAGGTCTTCTTTCTTCCAATAATATACTGGTCCATGCGTTATAGCCCACCTTATCTGCAACACACCAAATACCCGTTCAACATCCTTCCTAACGGCTTATTGTCTTTGAGTAAACAATTTCTCTTTTTCAATAGTTGGGTGCAGGATGGTTTGAATCAAAGTTGCTCACTTAGGGTATATACCATCAAATAGGTAATACCCTAACATACGTTGATGTCCATTCACCTCGTAATTAACTGGAGGCATTGTACCATTAATGATACGATTGAATACTGGGGAATGATCTAAGACATTCACGTCATTGTGTGAACCAACCATACCAAAGAAAGCATGCCAGATCCATAGATTTTTTGATGCAACCGCCTCCAATATGAGAGTAGGCTTACGACCTCTCCCCTTGTGTGTGCCATGCCACCCTTTAAGGCAATTCTTCTATTCCCAATGCATACAATCTATAGAGCCAAGCATACCTGGGAATCCTCTTTCTTCCCCTTCTTGAAGTAAACGTGTAATGTCGCTTTCGTTTGGCGAGTGTAAGTACTGCTCCGCATACAATGCAATTACAGCATCACAAAATCTCTTCAAGCTTTCAATTGCAATGCGCTCTCCAACCTTTATGTACTCATCACAATGATCCACTGAAATTCCATAGGCAAGTATACGTATTGCTGCTATCATCTTCTGTATAGGGGTGCACCCCATACGACCAGTAGCATCGGGCTTCTGTTTGAAGAAGTTGTCATGAGTTGTAATATCATTCAAAATGCGAAGAAACAACTGTCATCGCATTCTAAACCGTCTACGAAAGTATTCAGGTGGAAACACAAGATTTTCGGCGAAGTAATCCTTCCAAAGTTGTTGTGCTGCATCCTCCCGATCACGTTTAATATATCGTCTCTTCTTTGGTTTAAATAATGCTTTTAAATTCTCAGGCGTAAAAATACCCAGAATCGTTTTGATCCTTTTTTAATGGAATTGATAAACCGTCTCTCAATCAGAATCTGACAAATTTTCTGAAGAATCAGATTCGGAGATTTGAAAAGATTGTGATGATGATACCATTTTTTCCTTATATAAAAGTTGAGAATTCAGAGAAGAGAAAAAGTGGTAGAGGAATCAAATAAGAGAAAATATGGACTTAAGGAATGAAGGAAAAGAAAATGGACTTGAGCAATTACAAAAGACTAAGTTAGTGGTTTATATAGCCGTTGGAATATAGCCGTTAGAAAAATAGCCGTTGGGAATATAGCCGTTGAGAATATAGCCATTGGGTATACAACAATCTCTATAAATACAGCATTCATTTCACTCAATACTCATCATTCAACACTCATTTCTCTCAGCCTTCAATATTCATTTCACTAAATCATCATCCTTCGACATTCAATGGATCAGCGACCTCCATTCAACAGCCCTCATTTTAACCAATATGGAAACTTCGAAATACCGTCTCAATTCAATTTTGGGTGGCACTCTTAAGATCCAATCCATTCTGAATATACATCTCAGCCCCAATTCCAAAACCAAATTTATCCAGAATACACACCTCAATTTCAAAATCCATTTTGTCACCCTTACACATCTCAATTCCAAAATCCATCTCAACAACCCCCATACGTACCTCAATTCCAAAATTCCTCTCAACCTTCTCAATCATAGCCACCCTCAAAGAGAAAGGGTGAGAATTGGTCCAAAGAAGAAGATATAGCATTGTGCAAAACATGGATCATGATTGGTGAAGATCCAGTGACGGGTACAAATCAAAGTATGGGTACATTGTGGCAACGAATTCAAGCTCATTGGGTTAGGCAATTGGGAGACAAGATAACTGAAGAAAGATCACACGGTGCTCTGATGAACCGTTTTTCAAACTTTCAACGTGATGTAAACAAATTTTCAAGATACTACAAAAATGTCCACGACAATCTAATCAGTGGTTACAACGAGTATGATATGGTAAGTTTTTACTTTGTACAATATTTTTTTATTCTTAATTTTAATCCAACTTATTAATTTCAATGATTATTTATTTTTTATAGATGAATGCTGTTAGAGAACTATATAAACTTCAACAGAAAAAAAAAAATTAAATTAAATTAAATTAAATTAAATACGAGCATTGTTGGAAAAATGGTAGATGCATTGCAACGTTAACAAAAATTCAACTAGACGACCAATGAAAAGAGGTGTTGATCTTGATATTAATGAGCCAAGAAATTGGTCGGAATCGACTTCAACAACACCAGGTTCATCAACTCCTACAGTATCAACTCCAGGGTCGGTAAATCTTGGTGATGACGATACACCAGTCGATACCGAAGGTTCAAATATGTCACGTCCCGAGGGACAAAAAGCAAGGAAGATTCGTAAAAAGAAAACGCCATCTCTTGAAGCAAGTATTCTTAAACAATTGGAAACTGTAACAGCACAAGGCGTCATGTTTGGTGAAGCAGGTGTGGAAGGAGAGCAAATGAGACTTCAACTTTCTATGAAGAAACAACGGACTAAGCAGCTGTCAATAGAATCAAATTTGGAGAAAGAACGGACTAAACAGTTAGAAATAAAAACAAGAGAAAGGATGGCTGAAATGAAGTTTGAAAAAGATATAATGCGTCAAGATCCATCGAAGACTCCAACAGACGCATCAAAGGCATGGATCATTCAACAACAAATCAAATCTTAAATAAACTAAATGAAGGTGGTGGTCATATGTAATTTATTTATATTTGTGAGAAAATATGCAATGTCTTTTTATTTTATTTATTTAATTGTGAGAAAATATGTAATGTCTTTTTTTATTTTATTTATGTAATTGGGAGAAAATATGTAATGTCTTTTTATTTATTTTATTTATATAATTGTGAGAAAATATATAATGTATTTTTGATTTATTTAATTATGAGAAAATATATTAATTTAAATGTATTAAAAGAAGTATTCTATTCAAATATATAATAAAAAAAATTTCAAGTGGCTGAAAAAGTAGTCGTTTTAAAAAATACAAACAAAATAATAAAATAATAGATATCAATTAACTCATACCGTGACTAAAAGATAGCAATATATAATATAAAAAAATTCAAGTGGTTGAAAAAGTAGTCGTTTTATAAAATACAAGCAAACAAAAAAATAAATATATTTTTAATTTTTTTTACTCAAAATATTAAATGTATTAAAAAAGTGCAATAAAAAATAATAAAATAATATATATCAATTAAACCATAGCGTGAATGATAACAATATAATGTTACTAACCACGTCAGCAACTCATGTGGCTAGCACTGTACCACTTGCCCTAATCATCAAACATCAGCCTCGGAGGACTCAAAACTCGGAGTCGGAGCACGCACCTCTGAAGCAAAAGTCGTACTGCTTTCTTATGCCATTTGACGTGACCAAGGGGTGTACTTCTCTGACGTGTTGATCACGTGACGTCTTTGGAACATCACCACCCTAGAACTCGAATCCCCTCTTGTATCTGTGCTCCCGTCCTATGTGCTGCATTTAAATTGTTAGTGGTTGCAAAGAGACAGACAGAAATTTAAAGAATTGACTTTATATTGTGAACGTCACACAACAAATTTATAACACTTCGCACTGTTAAGCTGATACTAGTATAAAAGACCAGGCTTTCTTGTTCTTCTCTTCATCACTGGTAAAACATTTGGGTTAATTTCACTTAAACCCCTTGAGATTGGCGCATATTTTATTTAGATGGAGATTTGATTTATAGCGACCACTTGGACCCAATTAGTGGCTTAATATTTCACTTATACCCCAAATGTCAATTTTTGATATTAAATGACTATGTTACCCTTTGACCTAATATTGACTATTTTTTGTGACTAAACTGCCCCCAAAGCACATTTCCTTCTCTTCCTCCTCTCAGGCAATCTTCCCAATTAACCCTCAATATGATCAGCCCCGGCTTCAGCCCTTCTCTCTTATCACTGTCGTCAGATTCCGGCGATGGATTCTGATTTACAAGCAAAGTTGACATGGTTTTTTCAACGAAAATCCGCATAACGACGGATTATTGAGAAACGCCGTCGGACCTTGATTCGCAAACGAACCGGTCTGAGGAATTTCGCCGCTCAAATTTTTGTTTCGGAGATCAAAACTCACTGTCATTGACAAATTTCCCAATTTCAACCCACCAATCACCACCACCGTCAACAATCATCTCCAAATGAACCAGTCACCACCCCATCACTAAGTTCAAAATCCGCAACTTTCAAATCGCCTTTGTCATCGACGAGGAGGTTGTCCGGCATCAGATCGCGGCGACAAGTTGGTTCGGCCGTGGATGACTAGCGGCGGCTCAGATGACAGCGACTGCGTGCTCGGGCGGTGGCTATGGATGAACTGCGGCTGTGCACGGGTGAGTCTGACCGGTGAATGGGATGGACTCGGGCTCGCCGTCAAGCTCGCCGCCACCATCATCCGAAGCCACAAGTTCGCCATCATATGGACGGTCCCTGAGCCTGAGCTTGCTACAACGCAAGAACTTCTCGATGGAGATAATCAATGGCATATCGCCGGAGGACCTCCAACCGATGGTCAAGATCTGTATCGACAGTCACCAATCGCCGTCGATCGCGGTAAAGAGGACCTCCAACACGCCGTAACTACTCTCCTCAAGAAAATGTCGATTGGAGCGTGTGGCGCAATTCCGGCGAAGGGGTGCTGAGCTTGTCTTTGCCATGGTTTGAGTCCGATTCCGGTTCGGATTCGTCTCCGGTGGGGTTTGTTGGGTCCAGCGGGTCTTGGTGGCAGCCATCCTTGCCGAGTTTGGGTTTGATTTGCAAGGCTGTGGATTGTTGATTTTTTTTTTTTTTTCCTTCTTGTGGTTGTTGATTACATGGTCTAATTTTATGAATAAGGGGCGTTGATTGTGGGGTTGTGATTGGGGTAAGATTTGGTTTGTTTGATTGATTACAGAGGTGGTGGTTTGTGGGTATTTATGCACTTTTTAAGGTGGTGTGTTGGTGGTTGAAGGGGGTGGGTGAGAGAGACCGTAGATGAGAGAGATGAAAGAGGGGTGTTTATGTCATTTAAAATTAAAAATATTTTGTAGTATTAAAATTTTGAGGGTAAAAAAGTCAATTCGCATGTGTTTGAGGCCAAAAATCAAATTGGGGTCTAAGTGGTCGCTAAAAATCAAATTTCCATCTAGGTGAAATATGCGCCAACCTCAGAGGGTCTAGGTGAAATTAACCTAAAACATTTTGCATGTTTATTATCTTTTTAGGATTTTAGAAAAGTCGTGTTGGCTTTTTAAGGTTTCTTTTTAATATGTTTTATTTTATTATTCTTCTTTTAGAAAACCTTTTTCGCATAAAAGAGCCATATTGGGCTCAGGAAATCAGTTCTTTTCAAGCATCAAAAATTGTACTTCCATCATAAGTAGCTTGTACTTCCATTCTTAATTGTGTTGTTCATGCTATCTGCAATCCATTGCACCATTTTGCATGCAGGTATTCTGAAATGATGAAAATTTAAAGCTTAAACCTATCTCAAGCACTCGAGTGAATAATTTACGAAATTCATAACATGAGTTGCATGGAGCATAATAAATTGTTGTCAATTTTTTTATGACGATGAAACAAAGAAAACAAAAATGACACAAACAGAAACTTATCTATCTGAAGAGTACCAACTGAATGCGTGCTGTGAGGGATAAATTATAGCCATGTCTAACATTTGTCATTAATTTGCACACAGTGAACGTTTCAGTCTTGAACCTCTGTCTTCATACTTATCAGTTCAAGTTATACCATTGTACCAATAAATCACCCTATCAATTTGGCAGAATTAGTGAACTATTTTCATTGAGATACAGAGCAGACAATTATGAGAATATCACAAACAAAACTAGAACTAATACACACAGATTTTGCTAAAGGTTTTAGAGCCAATCAAATTTCCAGAAAATGTCCAGAAACAAGTTTTTAAGCCAAAATAATACATTAACAACTTTCTAACAGACTTAAAACCAATTGTCAAATACCCATCTTAACTGCCAGAAGACAAGTTCTTTGGACAAAAATGTGCAAGTACATGGTCATATCCTCCCTCACAGGAGATGCCACCAGTGCTCCATAATCCATATAGCCTCTAAAATCCAAGTGAATCTTGTCAAGTCAAAATACTACCACCCACAAATTACGAGGCTATAAGCCCCGTAAGAGTAAGAAAGAAACGCCAACAAAGAGAAGAAATCCCTGGTTTAAGACAAGACATTAAGCCAATGTCTATGTTGCTTGAACTGTGCCGGCCACGTTTTAGATTTCCATCAAGACTTGTATCCTTAGTACAAGTTCCCGTACATTCCCAACCTTGTGTCAAAATGCGATTACCTAAGTGGACCATGGCCTACAAATCATAAAAAAGAAAAGAAGGCAAAGAAGCATACAACAGAGAGAGGCCATTCTCTAAATGTCTATACAAAAATGCAACCTTCAATGCAACGCGTCTTTCAAAATAGAGAACAAGTGGAGATACATCAGTAGGATCAATTAAATGAGACAATAGAAAACATTCTGAAGCAAATGTCCAATCTAGGGTTGTAAAGGCCTGTACTAAGAGATTCTCCAAATACTCAATTCTGTAACCTTGTATATTTAAGCAAAAGCTAGGTGCAACATCCATCAGACTCCACTGTTTTTTAAAAGCTCTTAAAAAGGTTGTTTCCACCCAATGCAATCTAAAAGGCCAGGGGAATCCCTGAGAAGGAGCCAGGCACCAAACCCTGTCCATGTAACTTGGAAAGATTTCAATCTCGACTAAGAAAGTCATTGTAAAATTCTTCACCCTTTTTTATTATTAATTAATATTCGTTTCACCAAAAAGCAAAACTATTCACAAAAAGCCAACTACCAAATTCCAACACAACACTAGGTTATACAAACTCTAGAAGAAGATAGATATATGTAATATTGAGGGCGCCCACCATGCACCACATACTTTCTCTAGCTTAATCTATCCCAAACATTTAGGTTACTTGGGCTACTATTAGCCATAAACGACCTCAAAGCATTTAAAGGCATTTGCAATTGGTAAACAAGAACTAAATGAAGAGAGAAATACACCCTGCAAATACTGAGTGAAAGCAAATAACTTTCTGTTCAATCCAATCAAAAGCAATTTTTCGTAACTTCCGAAAATTTTCATAAACTTTTACAACTTCATCCCACCCCAGAAGCAGCAATAATATAAAAACAATGGTTTTATTTAGATTTTTCATTTTCTTAAATTTAAACGAGCATTCCATATCTAGTGATGTTCAATGCAAAGACAGTTTTTCCAGAGGACATCAAAACATAAATCTCAACCTTGCAAAAGAAGCACAGATTTCGACCATCACATAAGTGTTGTAACTAACTATTGTTGCCTCTTGAAAATGGAACAACACAGAACCACAGAGTTTGTTGGCTTACGTAACTCGCGTTAGAATATGGCTGGTTCATGACCTGGATAACATCAATTTCTTCCTGAAAGGCAATGAGGTAAAAATATGGCCGAAGGAAATAGCCTCCAACAAGAGGTGAGTCCTACAACCTATGCTCTCCCTTTAGTGAATCACTTTCCCCATTGGCTACCTCAATTAAACCAAAAAAAAAAAAGCCAATTTTTTTTTCTTTTCAAATTCATATCCTTTCCTACAAAATAGGGCATCTCACCGTAATTAAGTCTCAAGCAAGTCTAGAATCACATAACTAGCTCATTTTAAAAGTTCAATCCAAACAAAAATATTTCTAAATAAAACCTGAATAACAGTGAGTGTTGGCCATCCATGTAACCTGAGTCACAATATAAGCACCAGAGTATCAGTGCAAGTATTCTTGCTCCACATGAACCGTCACAAAAATTTACACATTAATAGTAAGATATCAGGTATTCAGAATATGCACACACCTGTTACATCTTTTAAACCCCATGGATTTGTACCCAATTGTGCATCCACATGTACATGTATGATATCATCATGTAGAAGAGGGCCAAACTCTCTGACTTCAGATAGTTCTGAATGGGATACCTGATATCTCTCATTTGAATAATTTTGTAAAGGCAAACACCATTTGAAAAGCTTGATTTAAGAGAAAGGATATTATTTTTGTCAGAAGTATCTATATATTCAGAGTTCAGTTCATTGCGGATATCATTTGAAGGTCCAATACAAGGTCCATGAGATCCTTCAGTAGCAGCTCCACTCTTCGATGATTTGCACTTTTTCTCCCACTGCAACCACAAATACATGAAAGCTGGTAAATACTGTGATAGAACTATCTAAAGAAATAACATTTATTTCTTGTTCATTTATACAAATAAGTAAGAAATATGAATATCTTAATCATAGCTATGATCAGGTTCTATTGTTCATTTACTTAAATAAGTAAGAAATATGAATATCTTAATCATAGCTATGATCCTTGACAATGGAAAAATATTGAAAAAAAATAAGAGATTTATTAGTAGAAAATGGTCAAATTAAATTTAATGATTTCAATTTTTCTAAAGATGAAAACTCTAGGCATTTTTCCGCTATATATTATGTTTGAAAAATCAATTTAGAAAAAAGTTATACAAAGAATTGTTTCGCCTAAGACCTCAAATTATATTGAGCCGCCCCTGTACATAGGCAATTGTCAACAATGAGAAAACACCTGCTAAATACAGCCGTCTATGATTAATATTTTCAAAGTATATCGTCTAAAGAAGATATCTACCGAGTTCAGAAAATTTCAGAGCGCACTGCTATTGTGTTTCATATAATTCAAATCCTATGATTTACTTAACTACTAGAAAGTTGGCCAGTGTATGTCACTATGTCAATGCAAAGCACAATGGTAAATTGAAGTCAAATGCATTCCAACTCTAAAGGTTGCTATTTTTGCAGCCATTATAACCTCTCAGGCTCTCACACACATATGGGAAGGAATAAGTCTGTACATTATTAAGTATGGTGCACAGATAAGTTACAAGAGCAAGAGCTGATGTTTGAATGATATGCCCACTGCTCATGTCAATAATTCTCAACTCATTTATCTTAGTTTATAGAAGACACTAGTTTCAAAACAATCTTCTCTCGTAACCAACCAGGAGATGCAAATTATGCATTATAAAAGACACAAAAAAAAGTGACCAGAAAAGATACCTTAGCAAGATCCACATCAGAAATCCTTAAAGCATCCAAGCCACCATCCTACCGCCATACTTCCACAAAAATCTCTTCAAATTCTTCAAATGATCCTCACTTGCCAGATGATTTATCGCGTACCCACTATGAACAGAATTCAAAACAAGCATCCCAAAACAACAATAGTATAAAAATTGAAAACCAAGGCCATAAACCCTCTGTTTTGCTTCATATGAAACCAAAAATAACAACAATAATAATAAATAAATTTCGGTATCCAATGTTTTGCCATGTATTATTCTGGAAAAAGGAGAATTTCAATTCTACTAAGAACAACAGGATTGATATTATATCAAATCTACATGAATGTGTACGTGTATCTGTAAAAAAAAAAATTCTTTTATTTTGTAAAGTAGATGTATAGGTAATTTACCTGTCAAATACTAAAACAAAATAAATAATAAACAAATATCTTCATGTAGATTTGATATAATAGTATAATACCATCCCGAATGCTCATTATTTGCAATTTTTATGTGCATTCATTAGTTGGTTAAGTTTTTTCACTTTAAATAAAAGAACAAAACTTAGTAAAAAGTAATAATAAAAATAGAAAGTTTAATTACAATACAAAAAGGAAAAAGATCATTTGTTATGTTTCAAAACCACATTATCAGAATTTCATTTCTTTTTAATATTAGTAAATCTAAAAAAAAATTACAAACAAGCACTGGTTAAAGCAATACACAAACATAAAAAAACAGAACATAATTTCACATTATAAAAAATTAAAATTAGAAAAATCAGAAATCTTCATCAAGCTTGAACACATGCGAGTCTCCACCATTCCCATTCAAACTATTCATCACAGAAGCCTTCTGATACTCTCCAACCCTCTTCTCAAAGAAATTAGTCTTCCCCTGAAGGCTGATCAGCTCCATCCAATCAAACGGGTTCTGAGCATTGTACATCTTGCCGTACCCTAGCGCACCCAACAGTCTATCAGCCACAAACTCGATGTACCGGCTCATCAGATCACCGTTCATTCCCACCAGGGCGCACGGCAACGCGTCGCACACGAACTCCCTCTCTATCTCCACCGCGTCGGACACGATTCCCCTGACTCGCTCCTCACTCAGCTTCTGAGTCAGCAACTCGTACAGCAAACACGCGAAGTCACAGTGCAGTCCCTCGTCTCGGGAGATCAACTCGTTCGAGAAGGTGAGTCCCGGCATCAACCCGCGCTTTTTCAGCCAGAAGATCGCGCAGAAGCTGCCGGAGAAGAAGATCCCCTCGACGCACGCGAAGGCGACGATTCTCTCGGCGAACGATTCCGAGCTGTCGATCCATCTGAGGGCCCAATTGGCCTTCTTTTGCACACAAGGGATGGTGTCGATCGCGTGGAAGAGTCGGCTCTTCTCGGCCGAGTCTTTGATGTAGGACTCGAGCAGGAGACTGTACATTTCGGAGTGGATGTTCTCGATGGCAATCTGGAAGCCGTAGAAAGCCCTAGCCTCGGCGACCTGGACCTCCTTCATGAATCTTCCGGCGAGATTCTCCAGGACGATGCCGTCGGAGGCGGCGAAGAAGGCGAGAACGTGGGTGATGAAGTGCTTCTCGTCTGCGGTTAGGATTTCGTCCCAGTGGCGAACGTCGCCGGAGAGGTCTACCTCCTCGGCGGTCCAGAAGGAGGCCTCGGCTTTCTTGTACATTTCCCAGATCTGTGGGTATTGAATTGGGAACATACAGAATCGATCTGGGTTTGGGGCCAGAAGTGGCTCTGTTGGAATTGAAGGCATCTTGGAGGGGTTGTGTTGAAATGTGGAAGAAATTTTTTGGGGGGGTGGGGTTTGCAGACAAATTGAGTGTTGATGTTTAGGATTGAAGGTGATGATGAGTGGTTTATATAGGGTTAGGGTTAGGATTGAAGGGGAATTCATTTATGTTTCGTATAATAACGATAATAGCCTTGTGGTTAGGTTTGTACTGTGGGATTGATGAATTTGATGTGGAGGGAATGAGAAGGGTATTTTTGGTAAGGAAGATAATTGAAAGTTTGAGGAGCCAACTGTGTTGTAAATATTGAATTGGTGGATGTGTAACGTGAAAGAGAAGCTTTTGGTATTATTTGAACAGGCGGCGGGAGATTTGATTCGCGCTCAAAGTTTAAATTTTGATAAATAGACAATCTTTTACACAAAAAAAAAATTGTATTTTAAGAGACTACTGTGGGTTGAAAATTCTCAAAGCATTTACTGGTTGTACGTCAAATAGACGGTGGTGATTAATATCCATTTGATATTGATGGTCCCCCAACATTACTACTGTCATCATGAGGACCACATGCCATGATGCGGATGAATAAGCCTATGGTATTTGATTGGCCAAGCATCTGATGATCATCTGTGGATATAGAAGGACCCACCTCATTTAGTACTCTTTTCTCTCTTTTTGCGTGTTACAGTGATACATATATATACATAAATATATATATATATATACACACACAGTTGCAATTCAAGTGTTTTTTTTTTTTTTTTTTTTTTTTTTTTTTGACACCAACAAACAAACTATATTCAAGATGAAAAGGAACAATCAAGGCGAAAGGCATGCAACAACTATAAAGGCCAAATGCGCTATTCCAAATCACCACAATCGGCTGCTAAAACCTTTTTACTCAAAAAATGAGCAACATTATTATAAAAACGGGGAACCCATGCAAAGGAAGATCCCACACACTCCGCAAGAAGCAAAGAAACATCCTGGAAAACTATCGACTGAGCATCCTCAGAAACATTAAGCTTCATCACAGACAAACAATCCCCTTCAATAACAACCTTTGAATAACGCCATCGTTTGAGAAGAAGCAAGGATTCGCGCAAAATCAAACTTTCAGCCATTGACGGACCACAAACATCCAACAAAAACATTGACGCAACCTTGATCGGCTGCCCAAAGGAATTTGTAAGAATAAAACCGCCGCCACAAGCAAGAGTAAAGGGATTAAAAGCGGCATCAAAGTTGAGCTTCAAAAATCCAACCGTCGGAGGCACCCAGCCCGCCAAAGGTAGGGGAACCAACGGTGGAAGAAGGGAGAGCAAAAGAGTCTAACGAGACACGTCCCGAAATTCCTGAAAGGCGAGGAGAGCTGACTGGGACGCCGCAAAAGGATCCCATGAAAAATTCTTAAAAACTCGGTCATTCCGACATTTCCATAACGTCCAGCAAATATACGCTGTCAGACTCATGCATTCCTTCGAAGTTTCAGACATTGCCCATCGCTCACAAAGCTCCTCCCACCACTTTAGCCAAAGAGACGGATGTTGAGCACTAAAATCCAATCAAAAGGGACATAACTTCCAAACTAAAATAGCAAATGGGCAAATGCATAATAAATGATCCACAGTTTCTGCCGCAAATTCGCAAACTAGACAAAAACCAACCTCCGACGCCCCCCTTAACAGGAGCAATTGATTAACCGAGAGTCTCTCATAAAGACATTGCCAAACAAAGAGGATAATTTTCCTATGAGCGTGAATTTCCAAACTCGACTCCACATGTTTTCTTTCCCTGTTTCAAAGCTACTCCCAGCCTCTGGAAGATGGATGGGCTTCTTTAGAAGAATAGATAACGCGACATGGTAAGCACTCTTAACGGTGAAACAACCATCCTTAGAGGCGCCCCAAACCTTACAATCCCTACCTCCCATGGTACTAAGCGAAATTTGGCGAATTAACATCCGGTCGCGCTAATTAAAATGCCGATCAATCACAGTAACATTCCATTTATGAGTAGATGGATTGATCAGCTCGGCAACAGTGGAAATACCAGCCCCAAAAGTTTGAGAGGAGACTGAGAACTTAGAACGATCGGGTAACCAATTTTTAAGCCAACAGTTAACATCTTTACCATCCCCGATACGCTATTTCATACCTTTCTTGATAACAGCTCGAACAGAGAGAATCCCTTTCTAGACCCCAGAAGCCTTATGGCTCTTCGGAGCCTCTAAAAAATTGCAATTCTTGAAAAACTTCTGTTTAAAAGATTTATAAAGCAATAAATCATCCCCAATTTCTATTCGTTAAGCTAACTTAGCAAGGAGAGCCGTATTAAAAGCTTCCACATTCCGGAACCCCAAACCACCATTCCTCTTCGATTTGCATATATTATCCCAACTTATCCACTTGATTTTAGAAGATTTCTCAACCCCACTTCACCAAAAATTAAGGAGATAGCTGGAAAGCTCCTTACAATTTTGTTTGGAGAGCTTAAAACAGTGCATAGAGTAGGTAGGAAGGACCGAGAAAACTGCCTTGATCATAACCTCCCCGCCGGCTTTGGATAATAAAGAACCCTTCAGGCCTTTAGTTTTGGCAGCCACACGCTCCGAGATATACTTAAGAGCTGTGACTTTGGAACGACCTAAGAAAGAGGGAAGGCCGAGATATTTATTCGACTAGTCAATGTTGTGGATGCCAAGCAAATTCATGCAAAAAAACTTTTGGGAAGATGAAGTATTGGGGGAGAAATAAAGGCAAGATTTATCAAAATTAATCAGTTGACCAATAAGAATTTCGAAGCGACCAAGGATGGCCTTCATATGGAGCACTGCCGGATCTTTAGTCCTGTAAAAGATAAGTGCATCATTTGCAAACAGAAGATGAGAAACGGATAGGCAGCCACGACCCATCTGCTGACCCACAACTTTTTTGTTGCTCTCATAAGCATGAAATATTGAAGACAACCCCTCTGTACAGAGGAGAAACAAATATGGAGAAAGTGGGTCTCCTTGATGCAAACCACGGAAGGGAGTAAAACAACTGCCCTTTTCCCCATTAATAAGGACTGAATACGAAACTGAGCTGACACAATCCATAATCAGCTTCACCCAGCGCTGATCAAAACCCAGATGGCTCATAAACTTAAAAAGAAAGGACCAACTCACCCGATCAAAAGCTTTAGCTATTCCAATTTAAGGGCCATGTAGCAAGAATCGCCATACTTCTTAACTTTGAGGACGTGCAAAAGTTCATGAGCTAAAACAATATTATCATGGTTAAACGCTGTGGAACAAAGGCGCTTTGGGTTTCAGTGATAAAGAGAGGAAGGAAGGTTTAAGTCTGTTGGCTGATGACGTCTCGTCGACTATCAATAATAATCAACCCTTTGTAATAGCACAAATCATTGTAAAATAGAGTTATTGGACGGGTAAGTCAAACCATTGTGACTGCTAGTTTATGGCAACTAGGTCTTTAAATTCACTTTTAGTTTGATGAAAGGGATATAGAGTTTTGTTTGGCTTGTCACTTGAAACTATAATTAAATTGTGCATAAAACAATAATTGCAAGGAAATTAAAAAGATGAGAATAATAAAGATAAGACTAGGGAAATGAATTCACTACCTCCCCTATTAACATGCTAAGTTGCTATTAACTTGGGAAACAATTTCGGTACATGGTAATGATATGTAGCAACATGAAATTGCTAAATTATCTTCAAGAAGTCATAGGATCAAGACTTAAGTATAGTCCCTCAAAGTTCCACATGCTTGAACTACCTAAATTATGGTGTAGCCATGACATGCTCACTAAGTTAGGAACTATCAAACTCCTCAACACTATGGTAGTAGCACATGGAGATAAAAATCAAGAAAAATCCATCAAAGGAGAACACCAAGCCATGGACTAACAAGCTTCTCATATACATGTTAATAATAACCTTTTCATAATTTTATTTCCATTGTCACTATAAAAATGAAAGCAATACAATCATGAGGCAATAAAATCTATAGACAAGATAATAAAATCAACATGATCATTTATAGAATTAAGATCCATTATAAAATGTAAAGTGCTCTAGATCATGAACTACCATGTACATGAATCATTCCCCAAATTAAATGAAACTAAGACATGTTTACTAGAGAGGGCTTCATCACCTCCCTAGATAGGGAGTTAGTTACCCATGAATGCAAAAGAGGAAGGAGAAAGAGTGATCTTCAACTCTATTTTCACACCTAGAGCTCCAAGACACACAAACCCTCTAACCTTACAATATTTCTCTCTCTAAAACTTGCCAAAATGTGCGATGCCCCTAATACAAGCCTTAAACCCCTTATCTAGCCAAAAATATCCTCTTTTTTCCCTCCATTTTCGCGCCTAAACAACCCTAGGAGAAATCAGGACCACAAAAGGGTCAAGGGGACAGCATTGGAAGAAACAATGCAGCCCACGTATCTGCGTCTGCTGACTTGCGGGCGCCCGCGGTACACAAAGATACTCACCACATTGGCAGGCTCCCTCAGCTTCTGGGTGGGCGCCCGCGACGCACGAACTTACTGCCATGATTGGCGGGCGCCAGCGGATCCTTGGCGAGTGCCCGCGGCTCTGCCATGCACCAATTTGCTACTTGCAATTCCGCAAAGATTTGGCTCTGCTCGAAGACGCTGTAATTCTTCCTATAACTTTTTGTATAAAGCGTCATGAGTCCCATAGGTCATTAATCTTGGCCAAAACGAAGGTTCCCGGCAACGGCATACTTTGATCTTCAAAAACTTATCAAAGCGTCACTTTTAACTCTCTTTGGGGAACGAACCTAAAAATAGACAAAAACATGCAAATAAAGCTAAAATATACAGTATAACCAACTACTGAACTTAACTACTGCAAATAAGGACGCTTGAATATGTAATATTCGGCGCTTATCACCCCCAAACTTACATTTTGCTAGTCCCATAGCAAAACCAAAAATGAAACTCTTAACAAAATGACAACATTTGAAATGCTAAGAAACATGCATCAATCATGGTGCAAGAAAATATATGCATAGCTCAAATGTAACCTGGAACAGACAGAATTTTGGAGACGGGATTATTAAGCAGACTACTTTGCATATATGAAGCCTTGATATACAAAATGGCTAAACATA